AAACACTTGAATTTACTTTTAAACCTTTCGAACCGTTATATTTTTAGCTTAATTTTTTATTTTTACTCTATCAATAATATGAAACACAAACTAAACTTTGTTTTTTCCACAAATGGCTTGAAATTGTCCTTTTTTCAAGTTTATATTGAGTTTAAATTCAATATATATAACTTTATTGTTTTAATTCATTATATATTGTGTTTGTTGCAGTTATTTTTGCAAAGCTTGCATAGTGGCTTAACACTGAAAGTGTGGAATGTGCTCTTATATTTTATGTAACTCATTGTGAAGAGTCCCTAGATGCTTGTTCAATATAGGATTTACAGAAAAAAAAAAATACAATGAATTTAAACTTTACATACCAATATAGATAACGTACTTTTGTTTTGACGGGTGTATATATATATATATATATATATATATATATATATATATATATATATATATATCATTACTATATATAAAAGCCTTTTTATTATGGTGGCTTGAAACTCAAATTCACACTATTCCAAATACGCCACGTAACCTGCCTTTGTGCCCGACACAACGTACCAAAACGTCTTTCTTCACCTCTCCTTCAATGTTTCATCTTCTTCACATTGCAAGACCCACCGACTCAACGATTCTCCTTCTCCTCTAAACGTAACTCCTGCTTCCTCCCCCAACAAAGAATACCAACGACATCATCCGGAAAAAAAAAACCCTAATTTTGCGAGCAAACATTTGTCAAATTCATCAATGTCGCTTGATCACTGATATTGATTTTCCTAGTTTCTTCAATAGAAAACACCAACCACCAGACACGAAAAGAAACCCTAATTTTATGTCCAAATAATTTGATAACACTTGTCTGTCCCTTAGAGAATTGAATGGTGTAATATGGTGGAAATCAAATATTCATCATCATCATGGCGCCTCTTTGCTCTGTTTCATATGCTTTTAACATAAATCACTCATCTCTCTCTCTTTCTCTCTCTCTCTCTCACAAACACACACACTATATCCGGAACGCCTAACACCCCAGTTGCCGCCACTGTATTAAAGAGGGACGCAGTGAAGATAATGACACATTCAAGCCGACCATCTACTGTATTTAAATCTTCAAACCCATTTTTTTCTGTTTCGGTTTTTGGATTTTGAAAGTTCAAAACCTTATATTCTTTGGTAATTCATTCAATTTTCTCTTCTTCATTTACTATTTTGATTTTGGGATGGCAATGACCCTATACCCATCTCGGTTATGTTTAATTTGACTGTATCTCTCCTACAAACATCAATTTCGGTGGCTAGACTTGCAGAAACTCCATCACCAATATTTTCTCTTTAAAAACCAAATTTAAGTTGTAGATATTAGGGCAAATATGCTTAATGGTGACGTGATAAAGATGCATATTATGTGAAGTGTAAGATTTTGAGTTTTGGATGACATCATGATCTTCATTGTTACATATGCCAAAGATGCTAATGCCCTTCTTTTGTTCTTATGGTGAGTGCTCCTCTTTATGTTGCACTACAATATGGTAGAATCTAGGTGTGAGCATTTAGAAACTGATGAATTTCCAGGTTCCAAAAGGTCTTGGCTGCAAGATGTCCAATTGTTAAGCTTTGAAAGCCATTAAACTGGGAACAATCTTGGTATATACATGAAGACTATAATTTAATTGTTATCAGCAATCCAATCGACATATTTCTTTGCCCTGATGAAATCTTATTTGAAATTGTCCGTTTTTCTCAAATCTTGCAAACTCGATTTTATTTCAGAGGTTTGTAATTTCAATATCTATTTTTTTCCAAAAACATAATTTCTCATTTCTATGGATGATTAACAATTGCAACATTACAAAATAGATTTCTGCGAGTTTTCCTTGATTGGTTGTTGGTAAATTGTAGACTACTAAGATTCAATGACATAAAGGGGCTATATTTTTCAAAAATAAAAAATAAAAAAAAAACCTAAGTGATTGCAATCTTTTTCTAGGGTATAGAAAGGGTACTTGATATTCCTTTTCAACTGAAGCATCTGATAGATTATATTTCAAGATTTGTTATATGTCTTTACTAAATTTCAGTTTGTGTGAGTTATTTAATTTACTCCCACTTTTGACAGCACCATAGAAGGACAAGAAGTAATCTGATATGGTTTCTGCTTTCTTTCTATTTCCTGTCAAATGTTGTTAAGGTAATAACCCGAGAGCAAAGCTAATGTAACAAACTAGCTTAATTTATATAAGAGTTAAGTAAAACATCACTGTAAGACCTCAAAAAGACCAACATTCAGTGAAGAAGTTGAACATTCTACTTCACCCGTTTCAAATAGCAGAGTACCCAATCTTTATTAAGCTTGGTCTTGTAACTGCTTATGAATCATAAATTAGATATGACTGCAATTTTCCTAAACTGCATGAGATTTTCCAGAAGAAAAAAGAACTTAAATTTAGAACCAACTAAAACACTAAACAGTGGAACAACCAAATATTTAGTTCAAACTTGCATTTAAGTACAATACAATTATTTTCTTAATGAAAAATGCAATCTAAAATTTTTTTTGTTAATTAAACTTGATTAACTATTTGTATTGAACCAGATCGTTAACTGCTAGATAGTGTTATGTTTTGGAAGCCAAATTTACTTATGTTTATAGATGCTTGTTTCAAAGAGGTTCATTATTTTTCCAAGTCTAGATCCATAGCTTTCTTTACTAAGCCGACGGGGACTTTTCCTTTTTTCCATCAGAAAGATCCCCTATGCTGCGTTTTTTATAATGCTAGCTATATAATTAGTTCGATTTTGGAAAGCATAATGTCCTTATAATACCTTGTTGCTTAGATGTTACAAAAGGTAAGGCTACTAATATAAAATTGTTTCTCTTTCATTTACATGTTTTTGGCATCCCCAACAACTGTTCCACATGATCCAGCATCTATATGACTTAAAATTGCATATGGTGAGGATCTTGACGTGTTATATAGTTCATTTAGACAATGTATACTTTGTGTGTTTTAGGTGGGATACATTGAAGAGTAGTAGATGCAGCGGATAGATGACATCGTAACCCACTTCAACAGAAAAGAAGATTAACCTTTAATTGTATTTTAAGATGTCACTGTAGCAACTTTGAATCCCATAATTACCAAAATTGAAATTTATATCCTACAAAAAGATTTGCTCGGATTGTCACAAATTTGGGAGCGGGAAATAAAATACAATGCTCTAGAAATTGGCACTTCACAAAGCTCAATTGAAGAAAATATGGACACTATGCTTGTCATACTTAACAATCACGTAGCCTATTTTTATTTAAACTTATGGTTGTGATGTCACAATAACATTTGTTATAGATTTTATCATGATTTGTAGGTATGGAGCCATTTAGAGCATTTGGCTCACAATTCACATAGAGCATTTGCCTCATAATTATGATAGACTCCGCCAAGAAGTCAAGACACATGTATGATCATTTTTTATTATTAAAAAAATCATTTAATTATATTTTATTGAGATGAATGTTTTATTACACATTAGAACTATTAATGCGTAAAAGTTTATAGAGTGTGGAACGAAACTAATCTGAAACAATGTTTCACAAAAAAAATAAGATATATAATACTTCAGAGGAGTTTAATAATTTAGTTATTTATTTAGCCAACCATGGTGTTTTATTATGCTTTTATTGTCATTGGTATGAACTATGAAGTTACATAATGGTTATACATGTTAATATCATGTAAAATATTACATATATGATATAAGAAGATTAGGGTTGGTTGTTTGTTTGGGCATGAAAGAAGAGGGTTGTCGTTTATGGTGATGATGGTGGTGGTGGAGGCGTGGAGCTGCATTGGTCTCGAACACTAAACACCATCGGGTTATTTGTTGTTTGGATAAAATAAAATCACTATTATGATTAGTTATTGGTTGTTTGGATAAAATAAAATTATTATTAGGTGGTTTTAATCGTGAGTTTTGTTTGCACTTTGTATACTATTTGGACAAGTAACAAAAATTTGGATCCTATGTCGTTCATACATTGATACTACCAATTTTCTAAGTTTTTTTTTTTTTTTTTTTTTTTTTTTTTTTTTTTTTTTTTTTTCTATGAACTCATTTTTTTGGATTTGAGACATTAGTATTATAGTGTTTAGATTTTTTGTGAGCGAATTAATAGGTCCTACAACATAAATTTCATTTATTCTTAGCCTCATATACTCTATTTATTTAATATATATGTTTTTCATTTTGTAATATCTAGCCAATTATAACAATGTACGTTTAAATTTTTGTAATTACAAGTTTACCACGTTTATAATAGGAAAAATAATTTCAAGGCATCGCTTAACATCCTACCTAAACTTTTTAAATTATCAAATTTACACAACACATATGGTTTAAAAAATCAATCAACTAAATCAACCAACTAATCAACGGCTTTAAAAATTTTCTAGTATATATATATATAAGGAAGGAAGTTTAATTTTAACCATTGGTCGCCACTTCCAACATCTCCCTTCTCTCTTCTGATTTTCTCTCCCGTTTTTTTCTTTTTGAATTTTGACCTAGCTTACCAATTAACAAGAACTAGAAGCAGCTGGAAGTTAGCACTCCACATCCACCGCCCACAGTCATCGGAAACATATCTCAGCTTCACAACGCCGCTGCAGCACTGACAGAGGCTTGACGGACTGAGTCCTGACGTTGCTCACGCTCACCACCGGCTGACCGACAGCATCTTCCGCCACACACGACCCACCATCGTCTCCGGAAAGTTCGTAACTTTATTCCGCTGATTTTTTTTTGATTTTGTGTTCAATTTTCAGAAATTGGTTTGATATTTTGAAATCAGATGTTGAGTTCCATTTATAAACTGAAAAGGTTTTATGGCCCATAATCCTTATAACTTGTGAAAGCTGACCAAACGGCTTATAGTTATATGAATGAACAGGGCCATTGTCAATACAATCTCAAATCCCCAATATCTTCGCCTGCTTCAAAAATGTTCAACCATGGATCAACTCAAACAAATCCACGCCCAGACCATCACCATCGGACTTGCTCGATTTACTTACATAACCAGCAAGCTCTTAGCTTTCTCTGCAATGTCCAACATCGATTATGCTCACACAATTTTGAACCAAACAAACACGCCTACTGTCTTCGATTACAACTCTTTGATATTGGGTTACTCTAAAACCTCAAAACAAGAAATGGGTATTCTACTCTACACTCAAATGCGAAACAATCACATCGAACCAAATGCTCGTACTTTTCCTGTTTTGATCAAAACATGTGATTGTATATCTTCGTTGCTTCAAGTGCATGAACATGTCGTCAAACTTGGGAACGTTTGTGATGTTTATGTGACTAGCTCGCTTATTTATATGTATTCGAATCTCAAAGCTGTTGAATTAGCTATACAGGTGTTCGAAGAAAGCTTGTATAAGAACGTGGTTTGTTGTACGAGTTTGATAACCGGGTGTTTCAATAACGGTCTTGTTGATGTGGCATGTAAGGTGTTCGACGAAATGCCTGAAAGAAACGATGTATCATATAGTGCAATGATTTCTGGGCTTGTGAGAAACGAACTTTTCAACAAAGCATTCGACTTGTTCCTCCATTTGAAACACAGTTCTCTAGTGAAGCCCAATAGGCCTCTTTTACTAACCATCCTCACTGCATGTGGTAAAATCGGAGCCCTAGAAATAGGCAAAAACATCCACCATCAATTAACTGAAGAATCTTTTACTTGTGACCTCGAGATTGATACTGCACTTCTAGATTTCTATGCTAAATGTGGAGAGATAGAGAAAGCTGAAGACATATTCATCAAAATGCCTTACAAAGATGTTGCTACATGGAGTTCCATGGTCATGGGGTTAGCCACAAATGGGAGAAATGAATCAGCAATCGAGCTTTTTGAAGAGATGACACATAAAGGATATGTTCCTAATGAGATTACATTCATTTCTGTTCTTGTTGCTTGTAATCACAAATCTTTAGTGACAAAAGCATGGTGTTTACTTGGAAAAATGTTCAAAGTTTTTGGCATTCAACCAGGAATTGAGCATTATGGATGCATGGTTGATGTATTGGCTAGATCTGGACAACTGAAAGGAGCTGAAATACTTATAAATTTGATGCCAATGGAACCTGATGAAGCTATTTGGGGATCTTTTCTACATGGGTGTTTAACACATGGTGAAATATGTTTAGGAGAAAGAGTTGGAAAACGGTTGATTGAACTTGATCCTAATCATAGTGGAAGATATGTTGGTCTTGCTAATATGTATGCGGATATTGGAAGGTGGGAAAATGTGATTAGATTGAGGAATATGATGGTGGAGAGAAAAGTCGATAATACCCCTAGTTGGAGTTTTATCGAGGTTGATGGTGTTGTTCACAAGTTTTTTGTTCATGATCAATTTCATCCTCGAGCAAATGACCTTCGTGAAATCCTACAAATACTTAATAAGTTATCAATGAATCGGTAATGAGTAATGGGATACTATGTACCTGATTGACATTGACATGATATTGAACTGTATGTGGATCAGATGAGAGGTTGTTGGCGTACAAACATAAATTCACATAATATGAAATGACAATGTGGAAATTAAGAACAGTGGATGAATCGATCTTAGATAAAAAAAAAAAAAAAAAGGAATCAATGAAATATTTTTATGTATTCATAAGATCTAAATATGATTATCAGATCTGATTACAATGAAGAAACTTTACATAAACAAGATGAATTTTGATTTTCTCTGTCTATTATAAAAACTAAAATTGAAGTGGAAAATGACTAAATGAGGCTCTTCTAAAAATAGAAACTATATTCCTAGGGTTTAAAATCTAAAAAACCTTAAAACAGTAGGTCAAAATTTAAAATTCATTCGTCAAATATTTCAATATCCAACAACCAGAAAAATAACTTTTTTTTTATAGAAACCAACGTCATTCATTCATTGGCTGATCCGTGATTCCTTTTTTTGCCACGTGTACAACTAAAGCATAAAGTAAAAATAAATAAATAAGTAAATAAATAAATAAAAAGATGGCATGGTGATAAATCTTATGCTTAAATGCATAACAAAACCCTCCATGAACATTGGAGTCTTCACCTTGTGTGATAAATCATACGTAAGAATTCATTGTTTTATCTCACAGTTTCACATTGTTTACAGAATTAAAACTATAAATGCACGTTTGCTACCACTTCTATTCTCAATTTGTAAAATAATCGTTAAAATGTCTGTAGCATCCTTAACACCTCAAATTACTGGAACCGTTTACATGGGTTTGAATTTGAACCCAAATGGATCAAAGCTTTTCCAAACAACAAATTCGGTTCCATGGATCAAGAGAACAGTTTCAAATGGTTCTAGGGTTCATTGTATGAAGGTATTATTTATAATGACTTGTAAAAGCTTTGGAGTTTTTGATTTAGATATTGCTTTGAATGATTTAGTTGTATGAATGATTGAATGTATAAATATAGGTTTGGAATCCAATCGATAACAAGAAGTTTGAAACTCTTTCGTATCTTCCACCTCTTACAGATGACTCCATTGCAAAGGAGATTGATTACATGATGAAGAAGGGATGGATACCCTGTCTTGAGTTTGATTCGGTGAGGTCAATTAACTAGGGGCATTTTGGTAAATTGGATTCCAATGGGAATGGAATTTAGGATTCCATTCCCTAGTGTGTTTGGTTGCCAAATGGAGGGAATTCAGTTTTGTTTTACTCTTTTTAAAACACCAAATTACACAAGTTAGGTATATATTGAAATTAATAAAAATAAAAAATTTGGTTATATACTATTACAACTTCCAAAATGAATTTAAATACAAACAAAAGTTTAAAAACTATTTTATTTTTATAATTAAATTTCATTATATTTCTTCTTAACTAAACACATGACAAGTTATGATACCTTTCATATTCCAAATATCCGATCAATTTGACGTATTTCATTCTTTCTAAAAAACATTCCAAGAACCAAACATCTCACTCTCGCTTAATAACATGTGAACTTTAGAAAAATACGTGACAACTTAGGGGTTGTTGATACTGAATAACTATTTTTATTAAAACATGATTGAAGTTTAACATATCCCGTTACTTGCAACAAAAAACAAACAACGAAAATAATGTTTTCAATTTGTGGGTCAACATATTTTTCGGGTAATCTTAATTTAATCTAAAAATTAGGGTTTTTTAATCAATTTGTGTATTTAGGTGGGATATGTATTTCGAGAGAACAGCCGAATTCCGAATTACTATGATGGGAGATATTGGACAATGTGGAAGCTGCCCATGTTTGGTTGCACAGATGCATCACAAGTTTTGACTGAAATACAAGAATGCAAGAAGGCGTACCCAAATGCATATATAAGGTGTTTGGCCTTTGATAATGTGAAGCAAGCTCAATGTATGTCTTTTGTTATTCAAAAACCTTCTGCCCCATGAAAATGTCTTTCATGTGGTTTTGTTTTTTTTTCTTTTTGGAATCCTTGGTCAAAGATTCTCTAAAGTTTGTTGGATGTTTATTTTATGATGTTTTGAAATAATTTAATTGAGTTGTTTGGAAGACATGATGTTTTTTACCTAGAGGTGATTTATTTTAATCATTGGTAGTGATGTATAGCTTTTTGTCCAAGTTCCTTTGGTATATTTGTTAGTAAACTAAGAAACTATTGTCTTCATCCAATTTTGTTTTCTTATATGTTTAAAATGGTTAATTGTCGAAAATAACAATGTAATTGAGTTATGTTATCAATATGGGCAATGACCTCATTTTTTTTATCCATAATAAAAACGTGATATATCATTTTACCTACTATTTATCAATTTGATATGGGTGTTACTAAAAAAACTTTATGATGGGACATATGTATGGGTCATCCTTACGCACACACACCCACAAATGGGGATTCATTTAAGATTTCTCTTTGATATCATTGTTTTACAGGTTTGATTATTGCACCTTTGTAATAAGGATTTCATTATATTTCTTTGACACTGAGAGTGTGCATAAACTTTTAGGCTATGACACTATTGTTATACTCCTCTTTCAATATCATGTTTAAGGCTGTAAACGAACTGAACGCTTAGCGAACTGTTCGTGAATTGTTTGACGTAAAATTTGTTTATGTTCATTTATTAAATAAATGAACAAACATGAACACAAATTATCATTCATTTGGTTAAATGAACAAACACGAACAATGATTTTGTTCATTCAATTTATGTTCGTTAACGTTCATTTATATTGTTTGTTTGTTGGATTAATTCAGAAAATATCGAGCATGAGCATTTTTGGAAAGTTGCCTTTTACTAAGTTTATTTCAGTTTTGTATTTGATTCAAAGTCCTTTAGTCTTAGTATAAATAAGGGACTATGTTCCATTGTCATGTATTAGAACCAAAGTTTTATTCAATGTTACATTTTAGAGCAAGAAATTTTATTCCTTTGTTTTTCTTGTTTCCCCTATTTTCGTCCCTCTTTTCCTTCATCCCTATTTTTTGCTATTTTTCCTTGGTGCATAAAGTGTATGTATAGCAACGAATCTCTCTGTTTACATCGTTTACGTAAACGAGGCACCTATATTGGATATTGGATCCAAGTGGCATTGCAAATTAGATTGAGATTACTATTTTACATAAGATTTAGATGGTCTTATATTATTGTTCATAAGATTTTGTTTTGTTTCATTTCATATTAGATTGAGATTACAATTTGACATCTTATGTTTTAATCAACCCCACTTCTATTCCATTCCTTTGTAGTACCAAACAAGATTTTTTTTTTTTTTTTAAATTCCCATTAATCTCCAATTCTCCATTCAATTCCATATTCGATTTATAATGACTTTGCTCTAGGTAAAATTAAACGAAAAATAAAATTAAAGAGTAAATTTTCACAAACAACGTTTTTTAACCGGAAAAGAAGCACAAATTAAACAACAAACATATGCCTACAATTCTTCCTAATCTCTTGGCCGTTTACCCAATAAAAAGATCGATTCATGCTCCTTACTAAAAATGTTAATGTCATAAATGAATAACGAATTATTTTGTTTAATTTTTTTTCACAAAACCACCATTTAAAAATAATAGTGCATCACCCACTCATGACATTAACCCTAGTAAAAACACCAAGAGATTCACAATCCATGTAGATCGATCCGATTCAACCAACAAGTAAATTCATGTTATAAACATATCATGTTCAAAAGAGATCATGAAGGTGTTCTGCAAAAAAACCAAATAAAAAACCAAATTCAAGAAACAAGAATCTAAAATAATGTTTGTTACAGGGGACTGGATAAGTTTTCTAAGACTATTTTCCACAACAAGGATGAGGAGAACATTTATGTCTTTTCCTCTCTATCTGACACTCTCACTCTTTTGGATGGGACATTACTTTGCAACTTTTGTTCCATTGACATCAGTCACAATCCATGTCAAACGCAGTATAAAAGTAAAAGAATTAAGGTAATCCAATTTTTTGAAAAAACCTACCTATCAAATCAAAGCATTATATTACACCCTTTGAGCTTTGGTGGATGAATCTTTTGCTCGTGCGTCAACCTTGCCCTGTAATTAGATAAACTTCAAACGGTCATAACTTTTTAACAACTTAGTGTTGTGGGGCCCACAAACATCCAAGGGAAAGCCAAATTAAGGTGCTCCAAATTCAAAATTTCCCTCAATTTATTTATTTGTTGCAATTTTTTTTTTCATTAAATGTTGTATGGGCATACACGAATTATTTGAGAAATGTCGTACAAAAATTATTTTGAGAAAATGACATACAAAAATTATTTGAGAAAGTGATGATACAACTAGCTTAATGGATTACCTATTAAGTGTTAAGTCAAAGAAAAAAGTAAATAAAAGCTTACCATTCCCTTGCTTTCATAGTAATCATCAAGAGCCCATTGATATTTTGATTGATTCAATCCAAACCAATGTGCTACATGCTCATCCAAACTTGAATGTGCTGTAATATAAACATGCCATTAGTTCTTATGAAAATCCCAAAATAACATGTTTAAGGGATCATTCACTTTTGCAAATCAAGATGTTGTTTCTTGTTGACTTAATGCAGTTAAGGGTAGAAAGGAAAGCTATATAACAATCGTTCTTTGCATAAAATCCATAATTACAACAATGAGGAATAGCAGATCAATGTGACATTTTTGTCCATCTTTTTGATCTTGTTAGTTCTTATTTTCCACCCAAATTTCCCCCCGTATAAAATTGATCGGTAATTTGGCATGAAACAACAACAAATTGATGAATTAAGCATATACATTGTTGAAATCTAGTGAAACAAGTAGACAGATTTTGTATTCAATTCTAAATATCATGAAGTTCAAAAGTGAAAGGGAAATATAAAAAAAGTACCATTCTGAACTTTGGCAACGGCATCCCAGAAAAGCGCGAGTTTCGATGGAGTGGATTTCCCGTACTGAACTGGCGGA